CTGGACTCAACCCTGAGTTTGATATTATCAGACAGAATATTTTGGCCAGAGACGAAGTTACTCTATCACAGGCATATGCCATGATAAGTAGTGAGGAAAGTAGACGACAAGTTCAGTTGCAAAGTCCACCTATAGAACACTTTGCACATGCGAGAATGAAATCTAAGGGGCCTACTAAAAAGGGGGAGCATGTGTGTGAATATTGCAAGAAACCACGGCATACCAAGGACACCTACTGGAAACTTCACCCTGGACTACTCCCTGAGAGGTTTAAGAACAATCCTAAGAAGGGCAGTCAAGCGGAAAAACTCAAAACTGCTAATGCTGCTGCAGTACCTGAAGGGGGAAGTAAGGAGAGTGAGAAAACATCAACCATTGAGCAGTTGGCTGCAATGAAGTTAGACTTTGAGAAGTATGGGAGGCTCCTAAATCACCTGGAAGCTACAGTTTCTTCAGCCCACCCTTCCAACAGTACATCCTCTTCATCAGCTTTTGCTCACTCGGGTACATATGCCTCAGCTAATCATGCTTTAGTTTCAGGTAATCATAAACTCCCTTAGATTATAGATTTCAGTGCATCAGACCATATGACCAGCCTATCTAACCTTTTTTGTTCATATCATCTCCTCTCTAGGAAAGAGAAAATATCCCTTGCCGATGGGTCACTTGCCCCCATCTCTGTTAAAGGAGATATAAAGACCTCTGACACCATGTTCTTATTTTCAATTCTCCATGTTCCTAAGCTTAACAAAAACCTTTTATTTGTTAGTAGCTTAACAAAGTCCATGAACTGCAGCATAACCTTATTTCCCACTCATTGTGTTTTTCAGGACCTGCAGTCTTAGAGGACGATTGGGAGTAGCCATGAGGCGAACGGAATATACCTGCTGGACACACCAGATCAAGCTTGGGACCACCTAATGGAGTTGCTTTAGAGTCAGTTGTGTCAGAGTCTGTTAACAAAATTTTGTTATGTCATTTTCGGTTTGGTCATTTGTCTTTTTCCGCTTTAAGTCATCTGTTCTCAGATATGTTTAAAGGAGTGTCTTTATCTAGTCTTCATTGTGAGTCATGTGAGTTAGCAAAGCATTGTAGACATTCCTATTCAACAAGTAATAAAAGATCTGTTTCTCCCTTCCATATTGTTCACTCTGATGTGTGGGGGCCATATCACATCCCAACCATGGGGGGGCTACAAGTGTTTTATCCTTTTTATTGATGATTATTCTCGTTATACTTGGATTTATCTCATGAAATCCCGGGATGAAGTACCAATTATTGTGAAAAAATTTCATGAACTTATCCTCACCCAGTTTAATACCCGTATCAAAATATTCCGCTCTGACAATGCTAAGGAGTATTTTGAGAAAACCCTCTCCACCTATCTTGATACTTTTGGGATTATTCATCAAAGTTCTTGTTCCTACACTCCACAACAAAACGGGGTGGCGGAAAGAAAGAACAAACATGGGGTTGAGGTTGCCAGATCCCTTTTATTTGCATCCCATGTTCCTGTAAGGTTTTGGGGAGATGTTGTTCATACTGCTACCTACCTAATCAAYCGTATGCCCTCCAGGGTCCTTGGCTTTAAAACCCCCTTTAGTCTTCTCTTCCCGGATGAGGATCTCTTTTCTCTCCCTCTCCGTGTATTTGGGAGTACTTGTTATGTGCATATT